TATTATCATATTTACTTCACAGCTTTAGACTCCCACTGCTTAAGCAATTCATCTAAATTTATTCTTCCTTTTCGTTTGTGCGTAGCCTATGCCTGCTTTAATATTTTTCCTAGACACGTTCCCTAATAACGCTCTTGCCATTGGTCTTTGCAATCTTTATCTTTTCACTCATGTTGAAAATATTTTTCTTTTCCTATCTCCTGATCTTATCAGTTATTAAACATCCCTTGACCAAAGGCAAGTGTGTCATTACTGCCACCGGAATAGCTACCATGGCTCTCCTTTTCAACTCTTCGTCATCCACTGTCTTACTGCAGCACGGGGACTGCTGTTTTGTTATGGAACATGATTCTTTTCTTGTTTGTCGTTGAAGATTTCCATTTATGTTGCTTATTTTTTTATGAACTACATTATTCACATCGTCATCTTGAATAGCTATGTAATTTAAATTCTGGAACAACTAATATCTCTATTCCGAAGATTTGAATCATATATATTTCTCGAAAATGTGTATTAACACTAAAACGGATCGATCTCATTCATGCACTGTGTAGCCCAATTAGAATACAGACGTAACAAAGTTTAAGTTGTTCCCAAGTATTGATTTTGTAACAGCGATGCATGAACGCTTGCGCTTGACATGGCACATCTCACCCCACCCCCCTGTTTCCCACGAAATTCTAAAAAATATTTCATTAGCATTCGGCTATATTTTGTGATGGAATAATTTCTATTATCAGATAACGAGGAGGCTTTACAATCAGATGTCCTTGACGTTTTTGCGTTATTAATGTTATGAATCGTTGATGAAATGTCGCCCTGGTCAGTTCCTCCGAGTGGAATATTGTCTTATGAGAATCCGCCCACGTTTGGCTATTTGGCGAGTCTATGTAACCTCAAACGAAGTCTTCCACAATATATCCTTGATATGATATTATGATATTAAAAGTCATCTTAATAAATTATTTACTTTATATAATTTTATAATGTAACTAGAGGAGAGTGTGGAAAATCAATGTGCATATGGGAATTTATTCTTCATTTAAAATTATACTTGGTTTTTGGTGACAAGCCTTAAATAATGATGGCGGGGTGCCATCTGGCTTATAGAAATATAGAAATGAGTCGGTTTTTAGACTGGCCGAGATATTTGTTGGATAATAGGGATCGCCATTTTGCCTTTTCCTTTCCTTTGAAGTGGATATACGGCTATAATGTGTGTTTTCTAGTCTGGTACAATTCATATGTACGTATAACATTGTCAATATAGCCTTTTTCAAAGATTCATATGTAGTTTAGGTGATATTTGTATATTGTCTGACCGTTAAGGTAATAGACGACACTTCCTAGTACGCCTGTAAGACTTAGCAGTTCTATATGCAGTAAATACGGAATGCGATTTGGCACTTCAAGTTGCTTATAATATGTATTTTACCATAATTATGCCCACCTGTGTTTCCTAACAGCAGAACCTGTGACTGCATGTACACACATACATGCCCTTTCATACTATTCCGTAGTTACATGCTAGAGAACAATCTGATTTATTTATTAGTTAATATATTCATTTAAACATTGTAATATGTGTATTCATACACATGAGCCCACACAGGAGAATTATAATCAATGTATTATAAATCTAATTTATTGTTTTCATTACAGCACATTGTATGATATTTCCTTCCTCTTCAGTACTTCATTATTAAACAAGTAGATTTCTAACAGAATATAGTAACAGGTTTAGAAATCTGGTGTTAATCAAAATTAATTGTAAACTGAAATGGTCCTGACCTGGTTTTAACCCATACTGGTGTGATTATAGGAAGGGAAGTTGGATATTTTCAGTGGTTATGTAGTTCCTTTTAACCAAAGTTCATATAAACTATCTTTATGAATTACTCAAAGGTATGAAACAGTATGAAAGATTGATTTTTTATGAAATTATGTTAGCATAACTTTACAGTATTATGAATTGAATTTGTGTCTGAGTGAACACCCATATAAGAACTCCAGGTTCAGTGACACAGGGCTGGAATATTTTATTAGGATTAGTGACCGTAAATGAAGCTAAAAACCAGAAACATTTTAAGTGGTAATCAAAGGTAAAGTTTTCATTGTGCCAATGAGAACAACCAGTTGTGGCAGAAACTTGTACATGGAGGTACAGCATCTAAAACCCAAATAGATAGCAGTGTTTACCAAGTGATCTATTGTACATTATTTTTAACTTGTCTAACCTATGGTAGTGTAACCTAATGTAATGTGACATTTGTTTTTATAATGCTTATGTATGTTGAGGGCAATACCTTTCTGTACATCAGGTAAGGGTAGCCCAAGATGACATACCATAGTTCAGTTGGCCACTGCTCTTTTCTGTTCTGTTCTTTTTCTGGAATTTAGACCCCTCCAAACTTCCTCATGAGTATCATTTTGATATGTCATGACTGCATGTAGTAAATTAATTTTTCCTCAACCTAGCTACTGCAATTCAAAAGAAAAGTGTTGAGGAAGGTATTTGCCCTAAAGCAAGAAGAAATAAGTGAAATTTCATGAGTGAAGACACCAATACTGTAGTAATAAAGCATAAATTTATACAGGTTTTCAACTGCTCAAAAAATTTATTTATTTCTGTTGCAGCCTATATGGCAGACAGGTAACCAGGTGTTTGTGGAGGAGTCATGGCAGAAGATTCTCATACGGTGGTTGTTGGAGGGGAGTTAGCCAAACCATTGCATCTGCAACACTTGGAACGAAATCTTGATGTGGAACCATTCCTTTCATATGTGGAACATATATTTAATACTCCATTAAGGTATTTAAAGGTCAAGGACATTGGCATAATGAATGTTACAATATTAGATCCTTGCATGTGTCAGGTTTCTATAATTTTTAAGTAGCAAGCAATGGATACTAATTGTTTTATTGGCTGAGTCCTTGAAGGTTGTAGATTCTTAGTAGTTCCAATATTTCCCCAGAATAGAAGTAATAGAAATGCTTTAGTAGGGGTTTATTATTTATTAGAAACCAGTGCATTGCATTGGACATGCTGAGAAATCTCATGTTTTTAATAACAGTGAAGAAGCTGTTGATTTTGTAAAATGGCACTCAGGACATAAAATATTGTGACAATGGTGAATACCAGGCCTCCATTTTGGTTCAGAACTCATGTAATGATTATAGGCATCCTCTGTTGACTTTTATCCACATGATTGTACTGTTGGGGCATGTATAATGCGATATGTTCTGCCCAACAACTTTTGACGTAAATACGTCTATATGGAAGGGTCATTTGGCAAAACAGCATTAGGAAAATGTGTAAGATCCAGCAGTGTGTAATGGTCAGCTTTTATATGAACTCCTGTGCGCATAACAATGCTTTACTCCTTTACCTAAGAAACTAATTGTAATGTCATCTGTTTATTCAGCTTTGTTGTGTTTCATTACTGCCATCAACAATCCGTTTTCGTTATTGCGGAAATAGCTGAGCTGTGAATCGCTTATAGAAGAAGTTTGTCTTAGAGTAGATAATGTTGTGCTGTTAAAAACGTTTTAGAATATCACAAATACTTATCTTATATAAGAATTATTAAGAAATCTGTGATACTGCCCTCCACTCTCTCCATTTTAGTTTTGATTAAATTGGTCATTGCTGGTGGACATTGTGGTCTCTTACAATTGAACAAAGTTTGAGGTAAGGGATTCCTATTTATTATTATTGTTCATCACGTTAAGCGTTAAGCTCCCGCCTCTCGAAAACCGTAAGAGATGGATTTGGACATATTGCGTACGAAATACGTATTACCTCTTGAGCTTTCCATATCTGTTTTCAGATTTTACATATCACAAATAGTTTAGTTTCTACAAACATTTATTTATACAAATAAAGACACATCACACTTCATGCTACTGCTGCGTTTGTGTGTTCCGTCATACTATGTAGAGATAACAAGATGGATGACATTGAAGCTAATAGAGTTCGATGATGATAATTTAAATACAAAGATGTATTTATGTCAGATTCTCCGGAACCGTGGTTCCACTTTCAATTTTTTTTATTCAGCAGTATGTTTTATTTTGTGTAAAATAGTTTATCGTGTGTTGTTTCAGTGATGATAACACCACAGATTCAGAATCTGAAGCTAACCTCACAGAAGCTGAAGAAGCAAAAGGATATAAAAGTATTAACGGAATCACAACAGGTATAGAAGGTAAGTCCAGTGGATCTGTGTCTGACATGGAGAACAGTTTTAGAATGTGGTAACCATGCATTTGTTTATGAGAATCAGCAGCTGTTAGACCTAATTTGAATCACTGTAACCCAATATCATTATTCGGTAACATGCAATTAGTCTCTCTGCACATTCTCATAGAAATGTGTTTCTTTCAGAATGATAACATCATATGTGTTTGTGATGTGTAAGGTTTTTTTTCACCAAGATGAATTGCTTTATGACAAAGCATCCTTCATTCTTTTCAGTCCTCCTGTTAGTGCTCGGTACCCTGGTCCTCCATGTTGGGGGTTGGTCGCAAGGCTAACAACCTTGCGCCGTAAAGAGGAAGATGTTTCGAAACCTCAATCGAAGCCTCGGACAGACGAACCTAACAGAGGACCGAATGGAAGAGGAGAATTGAGGAGGCCATGGACCGAATACGGACCGGAGAGCCATAGAAGAAGATTTGTCGTATCGCGTGTATTCTCACTTCTTGTACGCATCTAGTCCTTGGATCTTGCAGTGGTTATTAATTTTAATTTTTGATGCTTTCAGAGGAGTCCTGTTGTCATCCATAATGCGTAATACTTGTCAGTGTCAGCTTACTTGTAGTGTTTTTACCTTTAGATCAAGCCATTACTTTGGTTTCAGGTTTTATCTGTTCTTTTTAATTTTCTTAAAACTCCTCAGACTTTATCCTTTTGCTTTAAACCTGCTCTTAGTTCTGACTGGTTTTACCCAATATGCAAATTGTATGTTTTACATAACATACTTTTAATCTTCTCTGACATTGTTTATGTAGTATTCAGTAAATTAATGGTACACCGCAGACAGTATTAGTATGTAATTTGATGACCAGCAGGAAACCTGATACCAGCGTAAGGAAATTCTGGATATTGCCGTGATTGATTCAGTTTTTCTTGCAGAACGAAAATCAGATAAGATGCGTCTGTACAACTTTGATAATGTGAAAAAGAATCGTCGATGGTTACGAGATGTCTTGGTCAGTGATACGTCAGATTCCTCAAGTGATGAGGGGAATGACAAACAAATTACGGAACAGGATTTCCAGGAAATGTTACGTCTTCATCTCCTCAGGAAAAAGTATCAAGCTCGTTACTATACGAACCCCGAGGTAAAAATAAACTTGTTTACTTTGAGTTGTAGAATTTCTACAAACTACAGAATTTATACTGAGCACAAATTGGTATGGGATTCTTCTCGGTAAATACAAGTGTAATGAAAGCTGATTATGAATATATATTGTCTGTAAGAACTTATAAACACATGCATATACTAGTAGTTGGGTGTATTTCACAGTAAATTGCTTTTTCATGATAGTTTTAAAAACAAACGTCATGGCTGAGTGTTTATCACTCCTGCTTCATATTTTGGGGATCATGGGTTCAAATTATATATAATTGAGGCGATAGAGAAAAGACAACTGATTTGGTACGGACACGTGGAAAGGATGGAGGAGGAAAGGTTACCAAAGAAGACTATGAAATGGCAACCAACATAGAGAAGGAAGAGAGGAAGACCGAGACCAGGATGGAACGACAGAATTACAAGAACCGTGATAGAGTGGAAACTACCGCCTGAAGGATGGGAAAATAGAGGAGAATGGAAGAAAATATTAGGCACCGGTAGACCGAAGTAACGGTCAAGAAACGGAAGAAGAAGAAGGGTTCAAATCTTGGCCCAAGAACCAGTTATTCCAATGTTTCCGATAGTTTTCCTTTTGGTTTTAGCACCTTAAATTAGGCCATGACTGGTTTTTCAATCCATCATTCATTAATTGTCCCATAATTTGACACTGTATATGCTGTGTTGCCAACAGCATAGTTAAATAAACCTTAAATAAAGAAAAATAAGATACTTTTGAAGCACATTTCTGGTTTAATGTATGTACGACATGCTTTGTTTTTAGAACTGCCAGTATCAGTATTTTGGAGCTGGACTGCTATCAAATTATGACAAATTTCCTGAACATCAGAAACTTATTGTTGGTAATAAAAAGAAAAAGAAAGACAAGAAGTTTGAAAAGAAAATGAAGAAATTGAAGAAGTTGAATATGAAAGATAACTGTCAAGCTGAAGAAAGTCAGGTAAGTTTCATCAGATAATTGAACTTATAATGTGCTAGAAGTTGGTCCTAAATAACAAACTCCATTAAATAGGGTCCTTAATAAGCTAAAAGTTGCTCAGCTGGTCAAATAATACATTGTTACTTTTTAAGGAGCACGATACAATGGAAGATTTTGATTTTGAAGAAGGTTTGTTGAATCTTAAAGAAGAAGATGACCCTGATGGCTTTGTCGACATGACTCCAACTACTACAAAATCTTCAAAGTCAAAGAAGAAAGACAAACAAGCAAAAAATCCAGAGATAATGGCAATTAGAAGAAGAAAGATATGGGTTATGATGTCTAAAAAGGAACTTGGGAAGGTAAGCAAATGTCTGTAGTTCTAGGTTATGAATGAAGCCGAACGTTTGATCCTGTCTTCTTGTAGTTCAATGATATCTGTGTCTTCACAGATAATGGTTTTTGAGATTCATTTTAATATTTTTTATCTTTGTCTTACAAGTGGTATATTTCAATTATAATTCTGTTCTTATTTGTCCTACCCAAGCCATATGTACAGCCAACCATAACCTAAAACTATTAACTTTATCAGGTCTGAGATATAATTTTCTGAGTTAGCACTACCACCTTCTCTAAAATCAAGAATGTAGTAAGGTTTTCCTTTGATTTACTCAAAAATAAAGGCAGGAGCAATAAGAAATGTTATCTTATGCACGTTCATAGTTCCTGAAACATAGAACAGTATAAATGAAACATTTGAATCCGTTTGATGAAGTAAGAATAGAGCTGCATTTGGTGCAATCTGCTGCATACATTTGAAACTGTGTATTCCGTCTGTAGCCGAGAGATGGTACAAGATTAAAGCGTTTTGCATTTATGTAGTTACGAGAAGAGTGGGAATTGTCTGTAACCCAGACCAGCAGTTATTTTTTTGTGGCCTGTGAGGATGCATTGAGCCATGATTCAAAAAAGACCTGAGAGCTTAATACAAACCATGAAGTTCGTTGTGTGTAATCAATGCCATGATTCCGTCAGTTTTTAGGTTCTGCCGTGAACCATACAACCTTTTTCCTTCCCCCATGCCATATCAGTCCTGAAAAATGACTGTTGATAAATTAGTTGTAGGAAGTCATTCTTAGGGTTTTTAATTCTGTTTTTGTCCAAGGAAAAGGCGGTGAAAGGAAGAAGAAACCTTACTCATTTTTATGCTGTTGTTCCAGGTGCAGCGAGCAAAGACTAACAATCATAAAGAAATGCTTACAAGTTGTAAGCGGGTGGCACAGTACTGTATGAAACATTGGCGGCAGAAGGCAATGCAGGTTAGTAGACTAGGCCAGTCTTTGAGTTTAAGAAGAAGACTGAACTAATGTGGCGAAATGGAAACTAGTGTGTTTGGAGTATAATGCTTTGGGAAGAATTTCTAACTTTGCTTCATCAGCTTCAGTGTGTATATAAAGGGAATCATGCCACTAGGGCATATCAACAAAATGTGTACTTTACGGGAGATTATGCTTATTCGGTTTGACAATTGTGTATTTCCTGTTAATCCTAGTATATGCTCAAAATTTAAGTCTGGTCTGCAGTTCCATAGTATGGGGTTAAATCCCGTATTTGTATTGGATAAAAGTTGATAGTGTGTATGAAACTTAATAATTCAGCATTCAACATGCAGATGGTAATATTTCATATTTAATCTTCTTGTTTATGTCTCCAGTCACAGAAAAACATGAAGGAGACGGTATGGCGAGCGAAGCGACTGACGAGAGAGATGCAGGCTTACTGGAAACGTTATGATCGGGTCGAACGGGAGACGAGAAGGAGACTGGAAAAGGAGGCTGAGGAACAGCGCAAATTGGATGGGGAGTTAATGGAGGTAAAATTCAGATGCCAACATGTGTAATGGGGGCAGACGAATGTTGTCTTGTGTGAAATTCAAAGTATTTTTTTAAGTGGAATATCATAATTTTTTTAACATATCTGAAGCTTTTGAATTTATTTTACATGTATGGCATTAATTTGATGGAGAGAGAATTGAATTGAATTGAAAACTGCATAATGAAGAACTCCATAATTTTTACTCGTTACCCAATATTATTAGAATTATCAGTTCTAGGACGATGAGATGGGCGGTGCATGGGGGAGATGAGTAATTTGAAATTTCTGCTGAAAATCCTGAGGGGGAGAGACCACACAGAGATCATAGGCATAAATTGGGGAGGATAATATTAAAATGGATGTTAAGAAAAGGTGGATGAAGGGTGTGCATTGGATTCGTCTAGCTCATTTGGGTTTGACTTGTGATCTCTTGTGAACATGGTAATAAACTTTTGGGCTCTGTAAAAGGGGGGGAATTTCTTTACTAGCTGAGTATACCGCCAGCTTCTCAATAAATACTCTGAATCAAGAAGTTAGGTTTGTTTACAATTTTGATTCAGAGTGGTAAATGTGTGCTAAATCTGAAAGTTACGCAAACTTTCTTAATTGCTTTCAAGTTTCACTTCAGTCAGAGTGTAAAGATAAATATTACATATTTATGAATCTGGAGATTTGACTTCTGAAGTTCCTTGGCATGGCTAAACGGAGTTAGAGATGTGAGCAGGGAGGTTTTTATGTTTCAGGCAAAGCGACAGCAGAGGAAACTGAATTTCCTTATCACTCAGACAGAGCTCTATGCTCATTTCATGTCTCGTAAGTTAGGTGGTGCAAATCATCAGGAGCAATTGAGAATACTCTGTCAGTTGGAGGAGGAGAAGAATCCTCGGTTGGCGGCCATAGATGATTATGACAGGTAGGTCGTTCGGTGAAATTTCATTGGAAAAGTTTATTAGGGAACAATCAGATATTTGTGAGGCTTTATTGCTGTTGGTGGAACAGAGTAAAATCACTGCCTTTTTTTGGAGAGAGAGACAGACAGACTGCTTTTGATTACTGAATTAGGAAAAATGTTAAATGTAAAGTAGTAAATGCATGCACATAAGAACTTTGCTGTGGAGCCACGTATATTACCTAATGCTCTATTGAGTCTTCCTGTTCATATTGTTTCTGCATGTGTTCATATGCATGAAAGAACTCAAGAATGGGTAAAATCAGACAGTTTTAATGACCACTTTACGCAACATAAGTACTTTTTATGTTTATCTCATGCTGCAGACAACATTTACCTCGGTTACTATTTTTATCTCAGTAGTGTGTATCCTCTGTGATGGTGGTTTCACCCAGCCTATGGTGAGATTATTGACGTTAGACATCTCTGGAATCACCGGCACCATTCACAAAGGTCAAGGGTCAAATTCTGGCTAACACATCAGAATTGTTACATAATGTATATAGTTTTTAACTTACGTTACGACATTAACAGTGAAACTATGAAGCAGAAAGCTAAGAAGAACGTGCGTGATGCATTCCAAGCAGAACAGAACCGAACACGAGAGTTTGCACACGGGGTAGCACGTGAGCTGACAGATGACTTCAAGCTCACTGAGACGAGCATCAGTGCGGATGAAGAACGACCTCAGCCTTTAATTTTCAGGGGAAACCTTAAACATTACCAGCTTAAAGGCATGAATTGGCTTGCTAATCTATATGACCAGGTATGTTAATTAGGATCTGGTTGTTATTAACATTTAAAATGCGCAGGTTCGTAAAAGTATGTGTGTTGGTGTACTGAATCAAGCGATTTGTTTTCCTTTCTCTGTAGGGGATTAACGGAATCCTGGCAGATGAGATGGGCTTGGGAAAAACTGTGCAGTCTATTGCATTCCTGTGTCACATAGCTGAGAAATATGGTAAGTGCTGTCGTGCATTTGAAATCTACGTGAAACCAGGGTTCCTGAAATACACAAACACAAGTGGCAAATATAAAAGTATCTAGAATTTCAGGTCTTTACAGTGGTGAATATGAAGATGGCTGTCTTCTGAGTTGTAGTACCATGTAGTCTGGTAATTAACTTATGATTCAGAGGTGCTTGTTGCCTCCCTCATCGTCATTACCCTGATGATGGAGGGTGTCGAAATGTTGGTAAACTTATACGAGACCGCGTGGCACTAAAACTTGGAAGACAGCCATCTTCATTAAAGTGTTTGGATGATACATACTGTAGGACTATAAGGCAATGTCCTATGTGTACGATAACAAGCGAGCTATACGAGCTGCATAAGCAGCATGGGGTGTCATATGAAGCGGGGAATCGCTTGTTGTGTCCTACGTAAGAGACCGCAAGAGAGCACATGGCCTTCCTGCGCATGCACCTTCCATGTACTGCATGGTCAGAGCTTTCTTGCGCATGCGCCTTACTGGTCAGCGCAGCGACTCGCACAAAAATATCAAAATATTTGATCTCGGACTTTGGCCGCTTCCCTCTCCTGTCCGCTTAGCTGGAACCTAGGACAGCGCCACACAGACAGCCAGTTTGATATTTCCGCTTCACACACGCAACCCGCACCACTCGCATTTAATCGCTCACGTAGGACACCGGGTAAGTGAGTGGATTTCGATAAGTGACTAGTAGATTTAAGTTGCATTTCAGGATCCATGACTGTACCCCATTGTAGTATACCTTTCCAGTCTTGTTGGTGTAGTTAGGCTGAAGTACTGTGCTTTGTGGCTAGATGCTTGGGGACCGTTCTTGATAATCTCTCCAGCATCCACTCTCCACAACTGGCAACAGGAAATGGCCCGTTTTGTTCCAGACTTCAAGGTTGTTCCATACTGGGGCAGTCCTCAGGTAAGATTTTTGAGATATTTTAATTAACTTATGACTGTAGCTTATTTAATGACATTAACATTAGCTCAGATGGTTTTAAATGATACGCTGATTAATGATTTGGAAAGGATGTGACACTGACATTTGAGATCACAACTCCCCTTTTTTACCAACAGGAGCGCAAGATCCTGCGCCAGTTTTGGGACCAGAAGGACTTGCACACAAGGGAAGCGAGTTTCCATGTTGTGATCACAAGTTACCAACTTGTTATTACAGACTTCAAGTATTTTAATCGTATAAAGTGGCAGTACTTGGTTTTGGACGAAGCGCAGGCTCTGAAGAGCACCAACAGGTAATACACTATATTTTATTTTATTATTTCTGTCTTGCATCCTTCGAGGAACTGGTATGTTTTCTAATTTCCAGTTCCTTCTTGTAATTACCTTTGTTAAGTAATTATGAAATTAATTTATATGCAAGTCTTTCCACATCTGAAGTTGTCATTCAGTTCCTAACCTCGATTTAATTAATTTTTATTCTGAAGACCTCTTGGCTTCCGTTGCCAATTTTATTCCAGTTGCTAGTCTTTTCCTAGAACTTGTCATGTTACCGAAATTAATTCATGTTCTGCACGAGAGTGTCTTCCCAATTTTGGTCTTTACATTCTTCTTATTCTGCACAAATGTTATATTATAATATCTGTTTTTAATAATAAATCTTATTGTTCGTGAATCTGTAGCGCATGTTCGTATCATATCACCTTGTCCTCTTCCTGTAGTTTCTGCGTTTGATCATGCCTAATGTCTTGGTCTTAGATTTTATACCTTCTTGTTCATTTCTTAATAGTAACCGGAAGGTTTGTCTGTACATTACAAATTGTGAAATAATTTAATTCCAGTTCATTTAAGAATTTTGCTCATCTGTTTAGTGTTGTCTTCTGGTAGTAAATATGTTAGTGTAACAACACTAACATTGCATTATAGAAGATAAATTTTGATAAATCACCTCAGTTTACACTGTAACTGAAGGTATTTATCAAAACTTATGATGATGAGGACAGTAAAAACATCTATTTATTAGAACGAGAACAGGATAAAATCCATAGAAGTGACATTGCATCCTTCAAAGGAATATAATTTCTCTTAATGCTTTGTGTTTCAGTGTTCGTTGGAAGCTTCTCTTAGGATTCAGCTGTCGGAACAGGTTACTGCTGAGTGGGACACCCATTCAGAACAGTATGGCGGAACTCTGGGCCTTGCTTCACTTCATTATGCCTACTCTGTTCGATTCACATGACGAGTTCAATGAATGGTTCTCCAAGGACATTGAAAGTCATGCAGAAAACAAAACTGGCATTGATGAAAGTAAGTATGATTAAATTCTGGTGTAGAAAATTATGTTTAGCACAGAGGCAACAATAATTTTGTTTCTAATATTTTATTTGGCATTTTTAATCTTTATTTGATAAATTTAATGTAATACATTTCTACCACACACACAGTGTTGAGAAATTTCAAACTTTATTTTTCATCATAATACAGGAAAATGCTTAAAATTTATTTTACGGAAATATTTAATATACAATTAAAATTTGTACTTTCATGATTTACGTTTATAGGTGTCATTCAGATTTTTTTACTTCCCTGTCCTTAGAAAACTATCAGAAGCCAAAGTTCTTCAAACCAAAAATGCTATACACAAATAATTTAAGTTGCAAACAAATTCATGATTAATACTGATAATTTTTCTAATGTTAGCAGTTACTGTATGAAGCAATTTTAGCTTTAAATTTTGTGTGTGTCCCTGTTTCAGAACACTTGTCTAGGCTTCACATGATACTAAAGCCATTTATGTTACGGAGAATAAAGAAGGATGTAGAAAATGAGCTGTCGGACAAGATTGAGGTTATGGTGTATTGTCCACTTACAACTCGACAGAAACTTCTTTATTCAGGTATTACTGAATTACATAGTGTATTAAAATGCCCCACCTGCATTGTTCCCAAGGTTACTGACTTATCCTTGGCCAGAAACCAGAATTTATTGTGTTCTTATTCCTACTAGGCAGGTATAAAGATCATCATCCATTGGTTTTTCCACCAGGGTGTATCATCTTATGACAAAAGTTTTCTCCACTATTCTTTGTCCTCCACAGCCATTTTGTATCTGTGTCTGCTCTTTTCCCTGAAAACAATACATGAAAACAGTGAAATCAGTAATGTAGTTTGGACATGATGAAAGTGAAAGGTGGTTTTTGAAATTCTTTTGGAAACTCACCTAAAGATTTTGATTGGACAGTGAATTAACTTAATACTGCCGTCTTCTGTTTCAGCTCTTAAAAAGAAAATCCGTATTGAAGATCTGCTGTACTCGTACAGCGGTTCAAATCAGACCTCTCAAAGTGTGACTTCCAGTCTGATGAATCTTGTCATGCAGTTTCGTAAGGTAAGTCTTGTAGTTCGATTGACTCCATATCTAACCCCCAGTCTGGAGGATCACCCAGCATTAGCTGTCCGTGATTGCTAATTCAGAATATTTACAGCTGGTCTCCATACCTGGACCCTGTCTCCATCCACAACCTGAGGATGTGCCATGCTGTGGTGACATTTAGATCTTTTGACACCTTCAGGGTGTAGACATTTATATAATCTAAAAATCATGTAATGAACTCTTGTCACTATGAAATTGTCTGTGTAGGTCAGTGGTCCCCAACGCGATGCCCGCGGGCGCCATGGCCCCTGCTAAGGCTTTTTTTGGGTGCCCGCGTTGTTACGGAAAGAGGTTATACTGAATAATGAAGGCGGTTCAACCACGAACATTATAAAATCAAAGCGCGGATCTCGACATACTGACGCCCATCTTGACGATCGTTTGTGAGCAGCAACATCATCCTACACTCCCAAATTTAAAAACTGGCCGATGAAATGCAGCGCCAAACATCACACTAACCTCCCACTTGAGTAATAATAATTGTACTTATAAAACTACGTATCTTTGATTACATGGTTTCTTGTATCATTAAATGTCATGTTGTTTTGTGTATTATTTGGTGTCCATATCTTATTTGTCCAGAGAAAAGAAAATTTGGCTTTGTTAATTGGTTGGTGCCCGCCACGATCTCTTAAACTCTCAAATGTGCCCGTAGGAACAAAAATGTTGGGGACCACTGATGTAGGTGCTTGTATTTCATTCTGTTGTTCATAGATGGCTGCCAAGTACACATTTAAAAATCTCCTGCATTTGCTGCGGGCTCATTTATGTTGTGAAATCATTTTATTACATGAAATGTTTTGGTAGGGCAGTCAGTCATATTTCTTTGTATGCAGAAAGTTACTTAAATCATATGTTATTGGGTTAATGTAAAACTGTACACACAAACGTGCAACAGTAATAGATCCTGTTATTTTGTTTAAGGTCTGCAATCATCCTGAACTGTTCGAACGTCGGGAAGCCAAGTCTCCGCTTTTTGTTTGCTGCCCAGAGTACATAATTCCTAAGTTGCTGTTTGATGATGGACTTCTGTATCTAGCATTGCCTAGTAAACGTCATCTGTTGTATAATCATCTCAGTATTTTTGCTGTGGAATACATTCACAGATCTCTGTTTCCGTTGAAGCACAGCCGTGGTACGTTTCAAGTGTATACTCTGAAAAAAATGCAGTTATTTTTTTATATCTACTTTCTTTTCTTGCTTTGTTCTACTCAGAAGCAGTTTGTTTTCAAATGTTTGTAATTTATGGTATGTTCTGCGCTTTCAGTAACAGACTATGATTCACTGTTATTGCAGTAAAATTATAGTTTTTATGCTAATGTTTACTGTTTTGGAAAGTTTACAGGATGGTAGCAGATAGTGAAGTGAATAACAGCAAGAATTTTCTGAATTTATTCCTCTTGTAATATATGTTTGTTTTTTCTTATCAGGAGAATTTGCGGCCTCAGACACCTTTTTTTCCTTCACACGGTTCTGTGATCTCTCTCCGGCTGAACTAAACCGTGTTGTTCTGGGAGGACTCATTTATGTGTAAGTGGAAGTAATTAAATCAAAATTGTCATAATGTTCTGAGTATGAGGAAAGAAGTAATGCACACAGAAGTTTGGTGGGAAAACCTTATAAAGAGAAGACCAACTTGTAGCTATAACTTTATGTATTTTAGGGGTGTAGATTGTGGTGAACAGAATGGACTAAGCTGCTCTACAATGCCTAGTGTTGGTTAATAAGTTTATTTAGTTAGAGCCAGCCACTCAGTCAAGAACTAGACCCATAGTAAATAACCTTTGTTTCATAATAGCCAATTTATAAAACTCAAAACCTTGTTTGTGTTCAAGTCATATTAGAACAATTCCATTTATAGTTTATTCAATAAATGGTATAATGATTTCTCAATTAAATAAACAACTGTGACTAAAATATGTTGATAATGAATACTTTGTTGATTTGTGGTTTTTATTTTATGGGTTAAGAAATGTAATTTAAAACATTTTTATGTTTTATATGTATAGTTTTTTTGATGGTGAATGTGTATCATCAGCCACAGGTTATTAGGTTGTCACAACTGAACTAGACCACAAGAAACCATTATAGTGTGAGAAATTACTGATTCATGAGTGGTAATAAATGATGATTTTATTGGTATCTACAATAAAAACAAATAAATAATATAATTTCCTTTCCAGAATGTAATTTTTTTTCATATATGTTGATTTAACAGGTTTCTGCACCTGTCTCACTGCCACAAGTCTGGCTTCCTAATTAATCACCGCCACAGTTGGTGGAATACCAAAGGCCACAGTTCTGTCTCATCTTCTCGCACCCAGCTTTTGCTTTCTCCAGAACATCATCTCTCTGCTCCCAGTATTGCATACAGTACTACATTAAAAAATCTTGTTTTCACATCCATGACATCACATGGAAGCAATACTACATATACACACATCTGTCATGTCTACCACTCGATGCCCGAGACGGTCGAGCACCGTATCCTCCGCAGTCGGAAGGCTGCGGCGGCTCTAAGGAGAGGCCCTTCAGAACCAGAGGTAGATGCTGAGTTGGAGGATCAGCGGTGTAGTGGGAAGTCTGCTTCATTGAGTCCTGTGCACCGAATGGGAATCAAGACGTCACCAACCTCCCCCAAGGTATCATTTGATCCTTATGATTGATTGAAGATGGCTGTCTTCTGGGTTGTAGCACCGCGTAGTCTGGTAGAAATGTTGGCCAATTTCTACCAGTCTACACAGCATTGCAACCCAGAAGACAGCTGTGTTTATATTTGCTGCCGAGAACCTTAAATCTTCTTGTTCTTTAGTTATTCAATTACACTTTCATCCTCAGATGTTATGTAGTTAGGTATTTATGACATTGTATTTTAACCTTCTGTTGCAGGCTTTACGAAGTCCGAACCATTCTAAGTTATCAGATTTGAAATCGTCTCCAAGAGTAAGCGGTGGTGATGATGAGGGCCATGTTTCTGGGAAGGTCCCAATCCTCCCAGAGTTCTTCCACATTCCTCATCCCTCAAGGATCCTTGAGTGTCAGCCAACAGATCTGCCACCGTTCTTATATTATATCAACCCTAAAGTTCAGACGAGGGCTCGTGAAGTGTACTGCAGTAGCAGGGCCGCAGCATGGGATGCTCTATGTCATCAACATTGTACCTCCAGAGAGGGTCTGCAGACTGTCTTGTTTGGTTCACCAGAAGATGCGGATCTTTATGAAGCCAGGTCACAGCATTTCCATCCGGTTAATGCAGGTGGAATCGAGGCAGCGACTCCTAGATTTGGCTGGTCAAATATCATTGTACCTGGTAGGTCGAATGAAATTAATACAAGGTATTGTTATAGATTTATAAGATGTGTATCCTGAAGTTAATTGCTTAAACTTTAATATGGATAATGCAGCGTCATTAAGTAAACCGTAACACATCTACAGGGTGAGTGGGAAGTAAGTAGGCATTGAGAAGTGGTTATAACCTCTATATTTCGAATGCAAATATAATGAAAATAATTTTTACATATACCTTTTTAAATGGGAATATGGACACATAGCTTAAAATTCATTGTAGGCACCGGCGGCATCCACCAGCGTTAATATTACAAAACCTATAGCGATTTTTTAATGCCTACTTACTTCCCACCCACCCTGTATTATGTCACTCTGTATGTGGAGGAAGATGAAGTTGGGTATGGTGTTATCATCTCAGAATATCTTGCGCAAACCAGTTTGAAACTGTTAGTTTTAGTCTTCTGGGTCGTGATGCAATGTAGTATTTTAGGTTTGTCAACCTAGAAGACCGTGATTGACATCTTCACTACCATGAGAACCTCGAATCTCGGTTTTAAATTTATGTTTATTAGGTGTGCCAAACTGACCGATAATTGCGGCACGAAGGGATTATAGCGCTTCCGAGGTCAGTGGACGATAGGCGGAGAGCAGTTACAGTTACTAAGGAATAAGTAACTGCTGATTAAAGTTTGCCGTTGTCTTACAGTTGTGTAACTACTACATGTACTTTAGGGGTTTTCCGAAGGGCGGTTGGGGAACCACTGTCGCTTAACTGTACTTCTGTTTTGAATTGCTTTTTCGTTGCCATGTCTCCTCCAAATTGAGCAGGTGTGCAGTATTTTGAATGACAAGGTGAGTGAGTGAACTGTGTGTGTTCTGGTAAAAGGTCATCAACGTTCCCTTATGAAACATATAAATTGGTGGGAGTAGGGTTTTGCCTCATTGTAACGTTGATTAAATTGTAAGGGATGTTGTCTTTTTATTGCTGATAGTTATAGCAAGCATTTTTGTCCCTTCTCCACCCCCACTGGTAATTACTTGTTGTCTCGTTGTTAGTCAGCGTGAATAGAATTGTGCTGTTCATGAATTGATCATGCCTCACTGAGCAACTATTGTGTGAGTGTGACGTGGGATGGGGTGACAAAACTGACCACTTTACGCCTTACTGATTTCATCCTGATATGCAAAGCAACTGCTATTGTCCTACAGGTAAATGGTAGGAGGGATTACGTAGCGAAATGTTTTTATTTTTTTTCCCTGTATATGGTAATGTACGATACAATGAACTAGTCCCAGGAAATGAAGAACTGAAGAGAGAAGTATTGCACATCAGAAATGTTGGAGTGGTTTATAATTTCAAAATAATACTATACTTGGGAGAACTGGTAGTAGCTAATTTGGTCAAGGAATTCTCTGCTGTTATACAACTGGAAGGTTTGATACCGTGTTATTTATTTCGTATCCAAATACACACCATTCAAAGTAGAAATCATTAAATAGAGTAATATTAATAACATAGAAATAAAAAAAGGAGGTTGGGGAAAATTTAGTATAGAATAAATATAAAAGTAAATTTACAACATATATACAAAACTATATTTGAAACCAATATCGGGCATGAAGAATGGCAGGATACCGGGTTTACAGAAGTCTGCCATTGGACCGTAGCCAATTAAATCCAGTCCAATGCAGTTTCTGTAATATCACCTAATGGTGCAGTTACATTTAACTCTACATTATCTGTAAAGCATTCGTATATCTTTAAAAGGTTTGAAGGTTAGGGTAATTTTTTCTGTAGAATGTAAAGTAATATGATGATTGCAATCAAAAATCTTCTTTTCCCTTCTGTGGCATTAATATCTAATGAATCATTGGAATTAATCATCAGAAACTGTATATGGAGCTAGACCATAAATATACCTAATGTGGATAATGATTAACATATACAATGAAACCTAAGAAAACATAACCTAACTTTTTTTTTTTATATATCTTAATTGCGTCATGTTTGTGTTTTATTGATACAATAATTTATTTTCCGTCTATACACAAACTTAAGTTTATGTATAGACGGAAAATAAATTATTGTATAACCTAACTTATACAAAATATTTTTTTAAACTCAGAGAAGAGACTAATTGGGTGCTTTTGTAATTATTGTGATAAATATTTAGGTTCAATAACAGGTAATTTCTTGTTCAGCTAATTATAAACTGCTAGTTGAGGAAACTCTGTTATGGAAGTGGTTAGTTAGTTTGTTAGGTAGGTTACATTATAAATTTTTGTTAGCTACTTAATAAATTTCTTAGTTAGCGATCTAGACCACTTGCTGGGTACAATGGTAACTAGGTAACTGAAATATCTGGTAAAGGAACAGAATGTCTTGGAATACCAGAGATAGAAGTGACTTTGATTCTTTTTAGAAGTGTGGATGGATTTTGTTCGATTAGCATAAGAAAGCCATTACATTCAACGTGAAAATGCGTAGATTTCTCCCCGTGCATTAACCCATCCCACCAGTCAGAATTGTGTGAGAGAAGGAAATTGTAAGGATTAAAGTTAGGGGAGCATTCAAGTGAAAGCTTAAGGGAGATTGATTTGGAGGGGGTGTGGAGTTAGAATGGCTTCAGGGGTGTGTTGTCACAAGTATGTACTGAACATGTAAGAATTTATTTATTGATGTCACAGTATGTGCATAACTTACTACCATTATTTTTACCTCTGTTATTTAAGGCGG